TTCCCATTCAATGCTAAAGGTAACTGATTTGTAGTTGTTTGTGCCAAGGTCTTCTGTAATTTCTAAATTAACAAGGGTTTCCTTGTTTGCCAGAATTAAGTCAAGCAGGTTATTTTCCCTTGTAGGTTCTGTAACAAACTGCTTTGAAAAACAATTTGAACTACCTTTAAGAAGTCGTTAGACATTAAGTTCCTGGTCAAGGAATTCCAATCAATCTGACTAAAGTTAAAGTCCCCTAGAATTACTACATTATCGTGCCTTGTGGCCCTAACAATTTCTTCCCAAAGTAGTCTCCCTTGGTCCCTATCCATGTTTGGGGGGACAGTATATCACGCCTAAAATAAACTTTACATGTGTTATTTCAGACTTCATACCCATTTTTATGCAACAATTCAAGTGATCTTGGATATACAGGGCCACCCCACCCCCCTTCTGATACTTTTGTTTACTTGGAACAATTTAAAACCTGGAATGTGGCATTCAGCAGGCATGTCCCAATTTTTCATATTAAACCATGTTTCAGTTATGACAAATACAACAATGTTACCTGCACTTGCAACTAATCTCAACTCATCTATCTTATGTCTAGCACTATGCCTATTAGTATAATATAAATTTAGAAACCCTCCCTTCTCTTTTAACTTCCTGCTCATTTCTTTTCCTCCTAGAGGGACTAGTACCGAACTTGCACACGAAAATCACCCACTACGAAAGCAAAAGACTTGGCAGACGATGCACCATCCCCCCAATGAAAAGCAGGGGTGTCACTAGCACGTTAAGAGACCATACAATAAGTGTCAGGGGCCCGAGACTGTTCAACTGCCTCCCAGCACACATAAGGGGGATTACCAACAGACCCCTGGCAGTCTTCAAGCTGGCACTGGACAAGCACCTAAAGTCAGTTCCGGATCAGCCGGGCTGTGGCTCGTATGTTGGTTTGCGTGCAGCCAGCAGCAACAGCCTGGTTGATCAGGCTCTGATCCACCAGGAGGCCTGGTCTCAGACCGGGCCGCGGGGGCGTTGACCCCCGGAACTCTCTCCAGGTAAACTCCAGTATTCCTATTACTGTCCTTATCACCTAGTGTGACTGGCTTTCCAGTATTCACCAATAATTCTACCTCATTCTGCCTATAACTGATTTCCCTAAAACTAAAACTATCTCTACCCTGAGAATTCACTGCTATCCCACAAACATCCATACCACTATTTCTAGTTTAAAGCCCTAACAGCTCCCTCCACTGCATTAGCCAGTGCCCCCCCACCCCAAGCCTTTGTAAGTGAACCCTGTCCCTGGCATACATGTCATTTCGGCCGTAGAAAAGGTCCCAGTTGTTTATGAAAGTTTCTGCATTTTCCTTACAATGTCTGTCCAGCCAGCAATTGACAACAGTTGCCCTGGACAACCATTCATTCCCAACTCCTCACCTTGGCAAAATGTCACATATCACAGGGCTCCCACCCTTCTTCCCAATTATCTCTATTGCTGTCCTATACCTGCTAATCAGGTCCTCTCTCCTACATCGAATCAGGTCATCACTCCAATGTTAAATTACCTATTGGAGTGGAGGCTGAGCTTTATCTCTTGTCTCTTAACTTCCAAATGATGGACTTATAATAGCCCTCTTATTTATTCTGTGAACCTCTTCATAATGTGTGTACCTCAGTTCACTAACCAACTTTAGTATATCCTCACCATAGCGAACCTCAAGTGGAGGGGATCACCAGAGCAAACCTCAAGTGGAGGGGTTCCTGTGTTAGCCACTCCAGATAACCCAAGAAAGTCAGTGCATCATCGAGGATTGTCTGTCTTATTTCCATTGGGGTCCTCAGTCTTGTCCCCCAAGATGCGACCCATGCCAGTCGACTATCTACCCCGCCAGGAATCGAACCCGGGCCCTCCGTATGTGAAGTGAGGGCTTTGCCAGAGAGGCCATGGGGTCACTTGTGAACCTCAGTGGAGGGGATCACCATAGTGAACCTCGGTGGAGGGGATCACCATAGTGAACCTCGGTGGAGGGGATCACCATAGTGAACCTCGGTGGAGGGGATCACCATAGTGAACCTCGGTGGAGGGGATCACCATAGTGAACCTCCGTGGAGGGGATCACCATAGTGAACCTCGGTGGAGGGGATCACCATAGTGAACCTCGGTGGAGGGGATCACCATAGTGAACCTCGGTGGAGGGGATCACCATAGTGAACCTCAGTGGAGGGGATCACCATAGTGAACCTCAGTGGGGAGGAGAGATCACTATAGTAAACAATATGTAATATACCACCAGTGCTTCATGGCTCCAAAATTAAGAAGAATAAGAGTGTTCTGAATAACAGTGTCTCGCAATTAGTAAATGGAGGAACCTTCACCACTCCTTGCACTTCATGTCCAACAAAGGTTTAGTGCTTCACATACATGTAATAATCTGAAATATAGTGATCTGTTTTAATGTAGATTAATCAGGAGGTTGGCTGTGCTTCCCTATCCACACACCTACCCTAGTAGCTACTCTTTCAGACACAGTGCCCATTATAACTTGCCACTGATGCCCTGTAACACTTGTCACTGCCTCGTCCATACCATTTAAATTTATTACATCAATATGCAAAAGGAAACAGCGAGATGAGCACACTACTATCATTAACTACTGTTGCTAACTATCCCTGTGGATTTTAATACTACTACCACCACCACCACTACTACTACTACTACAATACTAGTACTCCCTCCTCCCGTTCTACCACTCCTGCCCCCTTCTCATACATTTTGGCTCTATCGTGCTTCTTAATGTCATTACCACACCCCCGGCCTAACCGGCAGAAGCTTTTACTTTTCCCTACACCTGCAAACAAGAACACCATGTTTGCCAAAGAACTCCACCTTTGACTGCAATGGAATTGTAAAATACGTCTCTGTTGCCTCCATACAAGTTCACACCACAACAAGTTCAAAATTTTGTGAAGCAATTCATTGACGACTTCGGCAAACGAAACATTTAGAAAATTTAAGAACGGGTCATTTGAATTTTCACAGTAAACTGAACTTCACCAGCCATCAAGTGCTCTGCTGCTGGCAGTTTCAATGACTGAAAACACCTTTCTCTGATGCTATTCTTCACCTATCTTCTTCTTCTATTGGGTTTCAGGGCCACTGACAGCATACGCCGTATTCTTCACCTATTTACACTCCCTTCCTCTCTCCGTACCCGAGAGTGATATACCAAATGTACTTCTCTGGCTAGTTAATAGTCCAAGTCGGACTGAATCGTTGCCATAAATTTGTTTCCTATGTGTGGGTTATTTATGTACCGAGATGAACACACTTGTAAATATATTTTATTATTTATACCGTTGGAGTAAAATGCCCTTCTCACACTATACCACTCACTTATTTATCCATACCTCACCTATGCTATTTGTGCTTGGGGATCAACTGCAGCAACACACCTAAAGCCAATAATAACCCAACAAAAAGCTGCAGTAAGAATAATCACTAAATCCCATCCCTGGCAACACACCCCCCCCACTCTTCATAGATCTAAACTTACTCCCTGTTCAGTACATCCACACTTACTACTGTGCAATCTACATCTACAGGACCTTAAACTCCAATATCAACCTTGACCTAAAATACTTTCTTGATAGTTGTGACAGAACCCACAGGCATAACACCAGACACAAACATCTCTACGACATTCCCCATGTCCGACTAAACCTTTACAAAAATTCAATGTATGTCAAAGGCCCTAAAATCTGGAACACCCTACCTGAGAACTCTAGAACTGCAGACACATTCATCACCTTCAAAACTACCATTAGAAAACATCTTATCTCCCTGATAAACCCCATCAACTAACTACACGAATACCACCTGGTGGTTCACACTTACACTCACTCACCCATTTGACCATAAACAGAAATATTAATCTCAATCTTAAAATAATGAATCCTATGATACTCCAATACTGAAACTATGTACTGTGCCAAAACAAAAGCATTCACAGTGCTAAACTCACAAACTAGTATTTAGTCACTTAGCCATAATACCAACTTACCTCATAATTTGTAATATTTTAAAATAAAGAATTAAACTAAGTCTGCCCGAAATGCCTAGCCATGCTAGGCGTTCTAGTGGTACACTCTGTAATCATTATTTAACTACATGTAAACCACACAACAACCAAATTCTGTAAATTCAACATTGTAATCTTTATAGAGAATAAACTTTGAATTGAACTGAATTGAAAGATAGATCTAAAGAAAAACTTCTTAAGGGAGATAATCGATGGAAAAGAGAAAGTAGCAGCAGTATTGGTGAAAAGCACGCTAAAGAAATTTAAATGTACATATTTAAATTTTAGTGATAAATTCTAAAGTAAAGTTGAGAAGCTCATAATAGTTAATGTATACATCCTACAATTCCCCGGCGATGAGACTTTGAGCTAAGAAATTGGATCTATTGTCCCTTGGACTGGACCTGATTGCCTCCCATTCTTCCCAGGCATTGTATGATCACCAACGGGTTTAGTGCTCCTCCCATGAATATAAAGTTATCAGATCGTATAAATGTGATTGTGAAAAAATGTATGCTACACTAGCAAAATATAAAATAACTGTTAAATATATGGACGGAGAAATGTTTTAAAAATGTTGCTGAAAAATGCTATTTAAAATATTATTTACAATACATAGTAGGCCAAAGTTGGAATATGCAGAAGTCGTGTGGTTCACACCCAGTGGTACAGCCAGGGGGCTGGGGGAAGGAAATGGGCTAAAGAAAGCTGAAGCATCCACAGCCAAATACATTTTTTTTCAATGGCAAATTATCACTGCATTATATATGACCAATGACCACAAAAGGACTATAGTTTAATCAATTTTACATACTGGAAATTATGTTTTTAAAGACTATTTCTTTGATTTTTCAGATGGATGGAACACCAAGCGCCTAGTTGCTCCTGTAGCTATAAAAGGGAATATCTATCTCCCATACACACAAAACTCACTTTATCTGCCTCTCGAGGAAGTCGACACCGATGGTCTTCTTGTAGTCCTTAGTGAAGGAACCCTTGCAGTATCTCTGTATCATAGATGACTTGCCTACCGCACCGTTCCCGACGATCACCACCTGTAATACAAGTGTTCACCTTTGTATCATCAGTAACATGAAGTTCTTCTCTAACACCCGTAACAACACTCAGGTGTAACAACACAATGTTGACATTTTGTTGCTGTGGGGATAGAGGTGGGTTGACTGGAGTGGAGGTAGAAGTGGGTTGACCGGAGTGAGGGTAGAGGTGGGTTGACTGGAGTCTGGTACTGGATAGAGGTAACATGTACGTGTATTTTTCTGCAAAATTGGATACATCAGCAGTGTGCTGCTACCCTATTCTATATAATAGTTAAGAATGGAACAATAACTAGCCATCTTCATACCAGACATAGACAGAGATATACATCACAGCACCGTATCATCCTTTGCGGATGATACTAGGATCTGCATGAGGCTGTCATCTGCTGAGGACGCGGTTAACCTCCAAGAAGATATAAACAAAATTTTCCAGTGGGCAACGGTAAACAATATGATGTTCAATGAGGACAAATTCCAACTACTCCGTTACGGAAAACTGGAGGAGATAATAACTAGAACAGAGTATACTACAGACTCTGGCCATACAATAGAGCGGAAACATAATGTAAGGGACCTGGGAGTAGTAATGTCTGAGGATCTCACTTTCAAGGATCACAACAGTGCCACGATCGCACGTGCAAAGAAAATGATAGGATGGATAATGAGAACGTTCAAAACGAGAGATGCCAAGCCAATGATGATCCTTTTCAAATCACTTGTTCTCTCTAGGCTGGAATACTGCTGTACATTAACATCTCCATTCAAAGCAGGTGAAATCGCAGATCTAGAGAGTGTACAGAGATCCTTTACTGCACGTATAAGTTCTGTCAAGCACCTTAACTACTGGGAACGCTTGGAAGCACTTGACTTGTACTCGTTGGAACGCAGGAGGGAGAGATATATCATAACCTACACTTGGAAAATCCTGGAAGGAATGGTCCCAAATCTGCACACAGAAATCACTCCCTACGAAAGTAAAAGACTGGGCAGGCGATGCAAAATGCCCCCAATTAAAATTAGGGGCATCATTGGTACACCATAAGTGTCCGGGGCCCAAGACTGCTCAACAGCCTCCCATCAAGCATTAGGGGAATTGCCAATAAACCCCTGGCTGCCTTCAAGAGAGAGCTGGACAGATACCTAAAGTCAGTGCCGGATCAGCCGGGCTGTGGCTCGTACGTTGGACTGCGTGCGGCCAGCAGTAACAGCCTAGTTGATCAGGCCCTGGTCCATCGGGAGGCCTGGTCGTGGACCGGGCCGCGGGGCGTTGATCCCCGGAATAACCTCCAGGTATGTTTACCTGTCATATTCCATTACACAGGAGGGGGCTCTTATAAGATGTTGAAATGTGTTGTCCTGAGCTAAAAGATTTTAGTAGTGTAATGAGAATATTATCAATTATTCCAGCAAGGGTTCATCAAGTGTTGGAGTTTCAAAAGCTTCATTCCAGCATAGCTTAAGTTACTATCACTTGGGATTTGCCATCTCTCAGGATAGCCTATTCCATATACAGGAAAATTGAATTTTTTATGAAGACATTAATCCCAGGAAAGATTCTTCCCGTGGCCTGGTATCTAAAGCTCTCGCCTCAGTGTCCGTGGATCGAACCACGGACACTGTGCGAGGCGAGAGCACGGGTGAAAATACTGGGCGTGTTCATTTACACCTGTTGTCCCCGTTCACCTAGCAAGCAAGTAGGTACCTGGGTGCTAGTCGACTGGTGTAGGTCGCATCCTTGGGGGCAAGACTGAAAGCCCCAGTGGAAATAAGACAGTCCTAGATGACGCACTACTTTTGTTGGGTTATTCTGGGTGGTTAACCCTCCGGAGTTAAAAATCCTAACAAAATCTCATCTAGCTTGACTAAGAGTAGCGCGTCCCTCTTAAGATTAGCGCACAGAGGATCAAACATCCACTGTTATACGCTGAATAACCCACACGGGTTCAGAGTTTCACAAATATATGTGATTTGTCACACACATTTGGTAATTCAGTTATTTTAAGTAAGAATATGGGGATAGAAATGGCAGGCGTGAAGCTAGAGGTGGGGTGGCAGGTATGGGCGGGGGGTAGAGGCGAGATTGAGAGACACTGGTGCAACATTTTAGAATCTTTATCAGTCCTTCCAGGCTGAGGGACTGATTACCTCATTCTCCTCATCTTTCTTCAATTTGTCGGTTTTCTAAATCATTACATCACAGAGGCGAAGTTTGTTGGGGAGCAGGTCTGCAGGTAGGGGTGAAGTGGCAGGTTTGGTGATGGCAAGCGTGGGGGTATAGGTGATGTGGCTGGTAGGGTACCAGGTTGGTCAGTAAGACACATAGGCAACAGGGTACCAGGTGTTTGGGGGATGATGCACCTCAGCAGGATCGCCGAATGCTTGGTGTTCAGTCATCCAAGTCCTACACTGCTCTTGATCCCTTACTCTTCTCATCCAGTCCTGAGACATAAGGAAGGAGCACCGCAGCAGGCCTGCTGGCCTATGCTCCACAGATCTAATATCCACTCATGTACTTGTCTTAACTATTTTTAAAGATACCCAAGGTTTCTGTTCTCGTTTACTATTCTCTTCTACCCCGGTCATGGGTCCCTTGTTCTCCTATCCCGGCCATGTGTCCCTTACTCTTCTACCCCGGCCATGGGTCCCTTACTCTTCTACCCCAGCCATGGGTCCCTTACTCTTCTACCCCGGCCATGGGTCCCTTACTCTTCTACCCCGGCCATGGGTCCCATACTCTTCTACCCCGGCCATGGGAGTGATCATGTCGGAGGATCTCACCTTCAAGGACCATAACATTGTATCAATCGCATCTGCTAGAAAAATGACAGGATGGATAATGAGAACCTTCAAAACTAGGGAGGCCAAGCCCATGATGACACTCTTCAGGTCACTTGTTCTATCTAGGCTGGAATATTGCTGCACACTAACAGCACCTTTCAAGGCAGGTGAAATTGCTGACCTAGAAAATGTACAGAGAACCTTCACGGCGCGCATAACGGAGATAAAACACCTCAATTACTGGGAGCGCTTGAGGTTCCTGAACCTGTATTCCCTGGAACGCAGGCGGGAGAGATACATGATTATATACACCTGGAAAATCCTAGAGGGATTAGTACCGAACTTGCACACGAAAATCACTCACTACGAAAGCAAAAGACTTGGCAGACGATGCAACATCCCCCAAATGAAAAGCACGGGTGTCACTAACACGTTAAGAGACCATACAATAAGTGTCAGGGGCCCGAGACTGTTCAACTGCCTCCCAGCATACATAAGGGGGATTACCAACAGACCCCTGGCAGTCTTCAAGCTGGCACTGGACAAGCACCTAAAGTCGGTTCCTGACTAGCCGGGCTGTGGCTCTTACGTTGGTTTGCGTGCAGCCAGCAGCAACAGCCTGCTTGATCAGGCTCTGATCCACCAGGAGGCCTGGTCACAGACCGGGCCGCGGAGGCGTTGACCCCCGGAACTCTCTCCAGGTAAACTCCAGGTAATGGGTCCCTTACTCTTCTATCCCGGCCATGGGGTCCCTTACTCTTCTACCCCGGCCATGGGGTCCTTTACTCTTCTACCCCGGTCATGGATCCCTTGGTCCTCTACCCCGGCCCTGGGTCCCTTACTCTTCTACCCCGGCCCCGGGTCCCTTACTCTTTTACCCCGGAGCTGGGTCCCTTACTCTTCTACCCCCGCCCTGGGTCCCTTACTCTTCTATCCCGGCCCTGGGTACTTTACTCTTCTACCCTGGCCCCAGGTCCCTTACTCTTTTACCACGGCCCTGGGTCCATTACTCTTCTACCCCGGCCATGGGTCCCTTACTCTTCTACCCCGGCCCTGGGTCCCTTACTCTTCTATCCCGGCCCTGGGTCCATTACTCTTCTACCCGGCCATGGGTCCCTTACTCTTCTACCCCGGCCCTGGGTACTTTACTCTTATACCCCGGCCCTGGGTCCCTTACTCTTCTATCCCGGCCCTGGGTACTTTACTCTTATACCCCGGCCCTGGGTCCCTTACCCTTCTACCACGGCCATGGGTCCCTTACTCTTCTACCCCGGCCCCGGGTTCCTTACTCTTCTACCTCGGCCCTGGGTCCCTTACTCTTCTACCCCGGCCCTGGGTCCCTTACTCTTCTACCCTGGCCCTGGGTCCCTTATTCTTCTACCCCGGCCCTGGGTCCCTTACTCTTCTACCCCGGCCCTGGGTCCCTTACTCTTCTACCCCAGCCCCGGGTTCCTTACTCTTCTACCTCGGCCCTGGGTCCCTTACTCTTCTACCCAGGCCCTGGGTCCCTCACTCTTCTACCCCAGCCCTGGGTCCCTTACTCTTCTATCCCGGCCCTGGGTCCCTTACTCTTCTATCCCGGCCCTGGGTCCCTTACTCTTCTATTCCAGCCTTGGGTCCCTTACTCTTCTATATTAGCCCTGGGTCCCTTACTCTTCTATCCCGGCCCTGGGTCCCTTACTCTTCTATCTCAGCCCTGGGTCCCTTACTCTTCTACTCTGGCCCTGGGTCCCTTACTCTTCTACCCCGGCCCTGGGTCCCTTACTCTTCTACCCCGGCCCTGGGTTCCTTACTCTTCTATATTAGCCCTGGGTCCCTTACTCTTCTATCCCGGCCCTGGGTCCCTTACTCTTCTATCTCAGCCCTGGGTCCCTTACTCTTCTACTCTGGCCCTGGGTCCCTTACTCTTCTACCCCGGCCCTGGGTCCCTTACTCTTCTACCCCGGCCACTGGTCCCTTACTCTTTTACCCCGGCCCTGGGTCCCTTACTCTTCTATCTCAGCCCTGGGTCCCTTACTCTTCTACTCTGGCCCTGGGTCCCTTACTCTTCTACCCCGGCCCTGGGTCCCTTACTCTTCTACCCCGGCCCTGGGTTCCTTACTCTTCTACCCCGGACCCGGGTTCCTTACTCTTCTACCCTGGCCCTGGGTCCCTTACTCTTCTACCCCGGCCCTGGGTCCCTTACTCTTCTACCCCGGCCTGGATCCCTTACTCTTCTA